ATATCTTGAAGAAGACTTGTTTCCTCGCCGACAGAAATTGGATATCTTAAAGTGGTGGAAGATTCACTCCCCAAAGTATCTGGTGCTTGCAGCTATAGCACAGGACATATGGGAGTGTCCGCGTCTACAGTGCATGGGGAGGTTGCATTCAGCAATGCTGGAAGGATCATCACTGAACAAAGAAGTAGTTTGACCCCGAGTACTATTGAGACGCTGATGTGCCTCGAGGATTGGTTTCGAGCAGCTGGTAATATGTTTTTTATTATTTTTCCGTACTTTATGTAATACCTTCCATGTTGAATGTTTCAATTTGAATGCCTTCAATATTGCAGATCGCCAAAAGGCGGAACCAACAGTTGAAGACCATGGTGGTGATCAAGAGGATGTTGGAACCACCTAATGTAATTCTGCTAGTTGTACTTTGCACTTTAGTACATGATATATTTTTATTCTCGAAAAGAGATGACCTTTATATTTGGCCAAGCTCATTGTCCAAGGGTTTTTGAGATGCATAGAGATTCCTTTTTAAAACAGCTAGTACAAATGACCCCTTCCAAGTCGCTAATTCTGTTTCAAATTCTAGTTTTAATCGAAGTTGGACTTTCCTGTGAGGAGTTGAAAATTGGTTCACTACTCATCATCAAACTATGTACTTTCATCCCATTGGTAGTGTGCCTCTTTTACCATGTCATTCCATTGCCTCGTAATAATGGTAACAAAATGACATGTTGTTCCTTTTAAAAAAAAACTTGTTTTCTATCTTATAATCGGCGCAAGGCCATGTCCAGTACCATTTATCTAGTAAGTAGGAGTAGTATTTATCCGGGAAGTTTTTTTTTTCGAAACGGAGGCAAAAGATTTGCCCCATATATTAAATAAGAAGAAGATAGAGTTGTTACAAGAGCCAAACACATGGCATGACAATTATTCTCGCAATATAATGTCCCCTAGCTTTCTAGCACCCGCAGTGACTCAAAGCTTTGCCTCATCGAGGACCATTTGCAGAAGGATGGTCGGTGGAGCACTCTTGTGGCGGAAGACTCTGGCATTCCTCCCGTTCCAAACGAACCAGGAGACGAGCATAGTGAGAGAGGCCATTGCTCGTCTATTAGGATTCTGCAAGTTGGTTCGCTTCTCCCATCACTCCTTCACCGAGCCAGCAAGATGCCAAGTGGTGGTGTCCATGTGCACAAGTCCCAACTTGTCAATGAGCATCCTTCAAAGCCTAAGAGTATAGCGGCACTTGAAGAAAAGATGGACGCCAGACTCTTGCTCCCTTTTGCAAAGTTGGTAAAGGCCGCAGTTGGGCCAGCCACGCCTGGCCAACCTGTCTGCGCTTCAAATCCGGTCTTATAGAGCCAGCCACGAGAAAATTTAACTTTGGGTGGAGCCCAAGCTTTTCACACCATGAAATCCATGGGGGAGAGAATCAACCCAAGGAATTGAGCCTTACAGGAAGAGGATGCCGAGGAGTCAAGGAATCCGGGGAGTTAAGCTTTACTCAAAAAAACGTATCCTGGACAACATCTCCATGTCTCAATTTTCTGCCCCATCTACGGTCAGCGATACACTAAGGAATTTCACGGCGGTCCCCCTTGACCACTCAATACATCTTACGTGTCTTATCGACGTTTTTACCAAGCACTCACGGCAGTTGCTGCAATCAAATAGCCCAAATCTGTCCATTTTGAAATTTAGTCAGGTTTTTTTTTTGTCATAAACACAGCCGTGCAAGCCTTTAAGAGCACAAATCGCCACCAATAGTTAGTTATGACATTTCGAATTCAGATAGAGGGTAATCTGTCCATACAACTTTGCTCGCAGCGTCCGTAATTCTAATTAATCTGCTTAGGTCTCTAAGTACAAATTTTCTTTGTGCAGGAAATACAGGATATTTCCCTTGTTCCCCTTCATGATCACTGACCTCATATGCAATTTTCTTTCTTATTAGGTGCTCAAGCTGTGCCTGCAGAAAAACACACGAGAAACAAATGATTCAGTTCACCAATTCGGTTATATATTCATACTTTTCAGACAACCACAAGTTTGCCATATCTCACTTGGGTAAGCATCGAACCAAGGTAAAGACCAGTGAACTCCAGAATGTAGCGCATGACATACACACTGCTAACCTGTACTAGCATGGTGCAAAGATATTGGTGTCAAGGCAGGCATTTTCTTTTTCCTTTTTCCATGATCCACACAGATGAACTCACCTCATGCATGGTTCGTGCTGCGCCACCAGGGGGTACACAAATGTCCAGCCAGTCGTCTCGACCAACCCTGCACCTGCACCCAACATGACATTGGACAGGTGGCAGAATCTAAACCGGAACTTCCTCGCTAATGCCTCGTGCTTCCTCTTCATCTCATCTGTCGGATCTGTCTCGGTTGGGTCAAACACCGTCAGAACCTTCTTCTCAGTATCGAGAATGTATAATGACCAGCGGTCCATGAAAAGCACTGGGAACATCAACTGAATTTTAATTCAAGGAAAAAACAAGTTAGAATTCAATCACAATGCAGCATACGATAAAAAAAAAGTACGTCTTCAGTTACCCCATCCAACACGCTTACCTTTTTCAGCCAATCAATTCTGTACCCTATCAATTAAGAGTTCATCGTCATGCTGATATAATCCCAGTCCACTTCATTGTCTGCCCTGCAAAGCTCTTCCGGAAAGCACATCCAAACAACCCAGGGTCAGCATTCCAGCAAGTAAAAAAATAATTCACAGAAAAAATGCCGACTAGCAAGGCATGTACCACAAAGCGCGGAATCCCTCCACCTCACGAGCCACCCGCGGTACATCCTCTCCTTTGCATTCAGCATGTGCTGTATGCATCTCCAGACATTTAACGTCACCTCACCACCAGGAGTCAGCTCAGCCTTCAGGTCCTGACTAGACGCCACCGCAAGTATTAGATGGAAGTGCCGGAACCATCTCCTAGAAATGAAGTGTTGTTTTTGCGACGGTCAGAGAACCCACCGACCCCCCGCAAAAAAAAAGAAGAGAGAAACCCACCGACAAAAGGTGCATTATGCCTCGGGGTTGACCCTGTCAGCTGACTGCGCGGACCGAGCCGGAGATACCTCCCGTCTGCCGCCGCAAGCCCTACCGTGGCCTCGCCTGGCATCCAGACTCAGAATTCGAATCCGCCGGCACGGATCTGTCGGCCTCGCCTGACGGTAACAACACCAGAAGTACTGGATCTGGTTCTCCATGCCTGTCGGTGAACTCCTCCAGGAGGAGGAACCTAAAACACACACACGGCCATGGGTGACGGACAATCTTATAATTTCTTTTACCAGTGCCGTTGCCATCCTAGTTCAGGTATGCTACAATTCCATATGCATAAATTCAGAACATTCCATGTGCTACAATTCATTAGAAATGTTGTCTGAACATTCCATATCATAACTTGGCCACTGTAAAGAAAAGCATCCATATATAGCTGACCAACAGACAACATTTACTCCCTCCGTTCCAAATTACTCGTCGCTGAAATGGATGTATCTAGAATCCATACGTGCGACAAGTAATTCGGAACGGAGGGAGTAATAGACATGAAAAAAGGAAAAGAATCTTGTCTTGATATACAAATCTAATTAGAGGTGAATTGGCAGATGTGATGTGGAAAAGATTGCCTTCTTTCGTGAACGAAAGTATGATTTCTCCACGGCCAATTTGATCTTCGTTGTACATTTTATCCTCTGCATTTATCTTTATTTTTCCAGTGTAACTTTAATAGGACATGCTTAGGATTAATATGGCCACTAATTACTAGAGAAAACATCAAGATGTAACCTATCGTATCCCAGACTTCTATTATTTTGCGATGCGGAAAGCACAAGAAAATAGTAGTGGCTTCTCTACTGTTGGTGAGCCCGGATAAGTGCTTATGCACTAATTTGCCTCCTAATAACAGATAAATTATCCAATAACGTTGTATGGCAATTAAGAAACTTGTGCTGATCTAATACAGATACTGACAAGAAACAAGTATGATTGATGTCCAGATGTCATGTTACACAAAACTGTCCAAATCTACCTGTATGATTTTGGAGTGAACCAACAGCAGCTACTGCATACTCACATACTGTATACTTGCACGTTCCAATAATTACAGACCAACATGATAGAAATCTTGAGAATTTCACAACAAGCATCAACACTCAGGATCATGAATCCATGGAAAAGAAGATGAAGGAACTGGATTAGTTACCCGTGGTGTCTGGTGGAGGCTGTCGGGCTAGAGATCTCGTGCAGAACCAAGGGGACATGGACTTGTTAGTGCCCGAGAACGAGATGCCGCCGACCAGTACAGGAGAAAGACGACGCCGGCGAGCAGCTGTCCAGTAGAGGGGAGCAAGGCAGTGAGGAGCGCCGGCGAGACTGAGATCTAGAGAGCAGCGGTGGCGTCGGGGGTCGACGGCGATGGGGCGGTGGAAACGCGGCGATGCAGCCCAGCGGCCATGGACAGACGGAGGAACCCTAGAGTGTCGGGATTTGGCTGCTCCAAGCTGTCCGCGAACTCCTCCCTGGGTGGGGACCTTGAAAACCACTGCAGAATAAGCAGCGGCGGCGGGGAATTGGGGAATCCATCGAAGCATGAAAATCCAGAGGCAAGCGCTGCGGCAGAGAAACTCACCGGTGAACAGGCCCGCCATTACCGCGAGGTACCTCCCCACCAGCAATCGACCTCATTGCTCGTCAAACTGGCCGTCCCGAACCCTCGACATGTCTCTAGGCGGACCCCACAAACAGACGTGCAGTCCAGGGACGGCTCGTTTGGCCCCTCACGACCTGGCCTAGCATCGGACAAGTTCTGAGCCACGGCTCAGACGCCCGCAATCACGGAGCGACGCCACAAGCTACGCAACTGTCCCACCCGTGCGCACTGTGCCATACAGTATATAGCCTGTATCCTCTTTTTTCCACGGTCCAGCTCTGTCGCATCTGACACGCTTTTTACCATCTCAAGGCAACAACCAAAGGCTCAGATTTCAGGTGCAGATGAGCCCGAGCACCAAATCGACCTGTCCAATAAATAGACAATACCATGATCCACAATCACAAAAACAGTAGTAGTGACTACAAGTAGGGAAAGTGAAGTATTTGTAGGATATCCTTTCTTCCGACAAGCAAACCAATAAAAACATGAAGGTGAAGTACACAAGGAAACTGGTAGTGGAACAGTAGTCTGCAGTTGAGCGGCTTACATACTCATTTCGAGGCCAGCAGGGTTAATGTCACCTGAGAGTATGCCGCCACTGCATCCCTTGAGTTCTAGGACATTGTCGCAGCGAAGTCAAAAACTCGCTGGTGATTTCCCGGAACGAAATATGCTTTACATGCGCGAGAAACTCTATGCCAGGTGGGACCTCCACCATGCCTTCAAGGTTGACTAGTGTTAATATTTCGAGGCTCACAACGGCACCTTCCTTCATCTCTAGAACCTCCAGATTTGGCAGGTCTCTCAGTCTCAGGGTTTTTAGCTTGGGGAACCACCCGGCAAGAAATGTCATCTGCTTTCCTCTGTACGCCCTGGTGAGCATCAGGTCTGACAAATTTGACAATCGAGAAAGGGATGGTAAGGGGTCTTGTATCATCTGGGACCAAGATAGAGACAGTGAATACAGGTTCCGCCCCGCAGTTTGGAACAGAGGAGACTCTACCAATGTGCCTTCCGCTAATCGGCCAGTCAAGCTAATCCTTTGCAGGTTTGGGGGTAGACCACTCAACCGGAGAACCTCATTGTCTTCGCTTGCATTCACATGTAGGTAGGAAAGGTGTCGCATCCCGGCTAGAGAAGCAGATATATGTCCACAGTAGGTTCCTTTCACATTCCATATCTCCAAGCTTCTCAGCTGCCTCAGCTCCCCCAACTGTCTAACGGACTCATCCTGCGCTTCCAATGATACTAGTGTCTGCAGACTTGTCAGGTTCTCAAGGCCCTTGGGGATGCATACACCACTGCCGCATCGGAAATCTCTCCTAAATCGATCACTAGCTTTGTCAGTGAATAACTGCCTAAGCTTTTTTAGTTTACCAATGCCTCTAGGCAGCTCCTTCATGCCAGACCCTGAAAGGTCCAGTGTCAACAAACTTGAAAGTTTCTCAATAGACCTGGGAAGGAGCTTCACTTTTGAACCACGCAGACCCAAATAGCGGAGATTGAAAAGATCTCCAATACCATCTGGAACTTTCTCAATGGGTAGGCCACTTAACTCCAGCACCGACATATATCTGGACTTCATTGCTATTAGAGGCAGTAAAGTGGATGGAATATTGATGTCCAATGCGATAACAGAGCGGAGACGGTGTACACCTGATACTGACTGATAAATATCCTTCTTCATTTTGTGTATTACCAGTCGACGTGCATCCATCTCATCAAGAGATTCCATATATTTATCCTCCTCATAAACAACACCAAAGCATTCCCGGCGACACAAATCTACTGCCAACTCACGTACAATATCATGCATCCTGAATGATTTTATCCTACCAAATGGGTTTCTTGTATCAACTTGAAGCATATTTCTGTGAACCAACTCTTCTAGATAACCTTCAGCCACTTCCTCCATTGTGCTTTCACCCCTTCCCTTGACGAAGCCCTCTGCTACCCACAATCGTATCAGCTTTTTCCTTTTGAAAAGATAGTCCTCTGGGAACAAGCTGCAGTACAGAAAGCAACTTTTCAAGTATGTCGGAAGGTACAAGTAACTCAAATAAAGGATATTCCTGACATGTTCCAAGCTTGGATTGTTAACTAGCTCCCAGTCGAGCTGGTCATGTATTCGCTTCAGTTCCTCTTTGGTCTTGTCACGTACAAAGAGGAGCTTGCCAATAGAGACAATTGCGAGGGGTATGCCTTTACACTTGTCAACCACTTCATGTGCTAATTCTGTCAGTTCTGTGGGACACTCACATTTTGTATCTCTGGGGAAAGCTGTCTTACAGAAGAGTTGCCATGATCCATCCTTTGATAGAGGTTTTAGTGTTAAGACCTGTCCTTGAGAAGCAAGTCGAGCAACATTGCCTTCCCTGGTTGTGATTACAACTCTGCTGCCCTTCTTGTTACGAATAACCACCCCAGAAAGATCATGAAATGCTTCAGGAGTCCAAACATCATCCAGCATGATCAAATACTTACGCTGCTCTAAAAAATTCTTCAGTGCCTCTTCAAGGCTTATGATGTCCATGGTCTCAATATTAGATGGAACAATGGCTTTGTCTTTGAAAAGCTCCTTGATTAATTTTTTTAAAACATCTTCTCTGGAATAAGTTTGAGAGACAGAGACCCAACAATGGCAATCAAAATTTTCTGTTTCCTTCCTGTAGACATTTGCAGCCAAAGTTGTTTTACCAAGCCCTCCCATACCATGCAGCACTACCACAGAGCGTTCCAACTCATCACCTGCCAACCACTGCTCAAGCTTTTTTCTGTTTCCATCAACCTCCACGAGATCTTCTTCAGCAAGGGAACGTGAAGTGCTTGCTAGATGCTGAGACCTCTCAACAATGTAACTTGAGTCATTCATATACCCACTATCTACCATTGACACCCATCGATCTTTAGCCTGGAACAGGTGCACAAGATTGTCCTCCGCTTCCTTAACCAAAGAAGCTACCCTGTTTAAAGAGAATAAAACATTTGGTTGTTTGAATCCTTTCTTCAGATAGGCACTCCATCCACTGTCATGTTTCTGACCAACAAGATGCAAATACTCATCCACAATGTCCTCAATCCCATGAACAAGTATTCTCACCTCCTCCACCCAGATTTCATATGTCTGATTGTTGCGATTCCGTATGTCCATTCGGCAAAGATATTCATGCATCAACCTGAGCTCCCTTCTGATGCGACCCATGCTTCCTTGAAGCTCTGTTAGCTGTGTTATAAAGTTATAGAACTGTAAAGTAGCCTGGTTCATTGCTTCATTCCCCAGAGCTACACCGATCTTTGCCACTGCCATGAGAATCACAACCTCGGCCATTGCGCCTCAAGTCAGAGCTGAGACAGATATGTTGCACAGCAGGTAGCCTGTGTGTCTTCAGATAATTTCTGTGGCCCAGCCTAAAAAAATTACAAGGTATATATTATTATCACACTGCAGTACTCAACCATGAATTACCATACTTCTGCAAGGAGATACACGAATTATGAGCTAAGCGTATTAAGGAACAACTAACAGTTTTAACTCATAAGGTGATATTTCCTCCAAACATTTCGCAGATCTAGTCTAGACGGAAAACAATGGATGCATAATACCAAGCAACCTATTTGGGAACAATGGCTCAATGGCAAGTTGGCAACTAAAGTCGGCTGAAGCTGGGTATTTGAGCAGTTTGGTTTTGCAGGATATTGCAGTTTTGAGCCAGATCTTGTTTTGGTTGGTGGTTGGGAGAGCAAGAAGATTTCTGCACCAGCAAACTATGGAGGCAGATACATGCATATTAATCAACGAAAAATAACTATGCATACCTGCTAAGGTAAGCCGCTGCTTTGTTGAGAAGAGCTGCTACCGTTCGTCGATCCCATAGATGAGAAGCACTCCCAGGCTCAGGTCCGTTAAAGGAGGTGTTTGGCTACAGAAATGGTAAAGGCGACGTTAACGTGATCAGATCACAGCCTTTAAGGAGGTGTAATCAGTTTTTTTTGCAAGTTTGTTTGGTTCATGTTCAGGTAAAGGAATCGATTACCATCACCCAGCTCTTCTTGCTTGGCCCTGCTGCTCGCCGGCCGCCATCCTCCCCGTAGATGGCCTACTCTTGCTTGACCCCAGCTAACCAGGATCTCAAACGCCGCCGGCCATCCCTGAAGTCAAGGGCCACCGGCTGTCTCCGAGATCAAGCGCCGCCGACCGCTCGGATCTTGTGCAGCGCCGGCCGTCCGCGAAATCAAGCGCCGCCAACCGCCCTGAGATCAAGCGCTACTGACCGCCCTGAGATCAAGAGCTATTGACCGCCCTGAGATCAAGCGCTACTGACCGCCCTGAGATCAAGAGCTATTGACCGCCCTGAGATCAAGCGCCGCCGGACGCTCGGGGTCTTGCGCGCCGCCTGCCGTCCCCAAGCATGTGCGCTGCCGGCCGCCTCCGATGTCAAGCGCCGCCAGCCTGTAACGGACCCTCTCTCTCTCTTGGTCAGATCTTGGGAGGAGGTAGGTGAAGAGAAAAAGAAAGGCGAGGTAGTAGGAGGTAGCAGAGGAAGGTTCGAGGGAGGTCAGCTCCTCTCGCCGGGTTACTTCTTCAGATAATACGTACGTACATGATACCCTCACACGCACACCACCACTACCCCTTACTAGTAATTTGTACGCACGTCAGATTAGTATGTAATAGAAGACACTAAGCCATTAAAACTTTTTTTTTCGCAGGAAAAGCCATTAAAACTAAAGCACCAATGTTATGATAAATTTATGATGTAATATTTTAGAGGGGATTTATATTTTTTAGTGGGAACTCATGAAGCTTCTAATTCTTCACATCAAATCACAAAAGTGCAACAATGCATTAGAAAAATATCATGAATACCTGTTTGGGCATTTTTACGCTATTCGCCCGGATTTTATTATTAACGTAGCCATTATTGTTTTTTGCTTAATCAATACATCAATCATTGACATTTACCCTTGAGTTTGCAAAAATAATATAGTCCATCGTATTCTTCCATGTACTTGAATTCACACATTACTTGTTATATTATTATTGTCAATTACTCCCTCCGTCCTAAAATATAAGAACGTTTTTTACACTAATAATGTAGTATAAAAAACGTTCTTATATTTTGGGACGAAGGGAGTAGTTGTTATTTCTATAAAAAAGAGTGCTCATGAATCATGTTTTTGCATATATTTTAGATGACAATTAACCTTCACAACTCGAACCAGCGACCACTAATTATTATAAGTAAAACTAATTTTTAACGCCAAAACACTTGCAACAGCAGTACTTTATTACAATACTTCATTTAATTGGCTATGTCCAGGAGTTTATCTCTCTGAACCTATCCATCCGACTAAAAATAAAAGATCTGAACCTATCCTTCTTCTGCATTGGTATGTGTGCATCTCTCTCTCCGCTGCTTTTTCTGCATCGGTATGTGTGCATCTCTCTCTCGCTGTGCACTATGTGTTGTGCAGGCGGTCACCATCGTGTGTCACTATGCAGGCAGTCACTGTAGCCTATGCGAGAAATGTCCAGAACCTGGACACCACACATGCACACGGGGCATAGTAGCTGTCCGATTTGACTGATTTACGGCCAAGAATGCAGGGATTCGCGGCTGTACAATGGCACCCGTCTAGCGTTTCTCCCATTTAACACCGTCCGATGCTGTAAATCAATGGCATGCAAGTCATGTAGGCTATTCTGGGGACAGTTTTGGGTGTACCTATCAATGTTCACACTTCTACACTATATAGGAGTACAGATAACTGAACCACGCCACCAACCCAGCTAAGACAGATCACACACACTGTCTAACACACGCTACCAGCATCGAGATGGCCACCCATGCAATCCTTGCTCGACTGATCACTGGGCCCCTCCTTGTTGACACTCTGTTCCTGTAGACTAGCCTTGTCAATCGTGA